CGAAATGTGCCCCTCCTCGTTGCACTCATAACAGACCTTCTTAGTGAATGTGCATTCATTGGCATAGTGCCCATGCTTCCCACATTTGAAACAAGTGACCCCTCCGTCGCACTTCCCAGAGTGCTTCTTCTTGCACTTGTCACACCACTTCACTTCGCCTCCTCCACCTCCTTTCGAACTAGACTTTGAGAATTTACCCTTTTTGCTGGACCCCGAGGGTCCGTCAAACTTCCTCTTCTCACCAACCTCTGACCTTTCCAGACCTTTCTCCTTGATCTGGGTCTCAACATTTCTGGCAGCCCAGATGGCGGCTTTCAACGTGGTTGCTTGCTTAACCATTGGACCATAGTCCGCTGGTAGTCCAAAGGCAAACTTATTGACCTTTGAGAGTTCTGTTGGAACTAGGTATGGGATAAGCTTCATTTTCTCCGTGAAACTTGCAGCGTATTCAGCAACGCTCATCTTTCCCTTCTTCAAATTCTGAAACTCGTTATTGATTTCCAGTAGGTCCTGCTCTGAGCAGTATTGCAGTTTCAGTTGTTCCACAAAATCTTCCAAGACATTTTACTCGCTTCTCCCTTGGGCATAGAGTCAGCTAACAGCTTCCACCAACTCAACACGCCAGATTTCAACAACGGGATAGCAAGAGCGGTCTTCTGCCTGTTGCTGCATTCACAACTTTCAAACATTGTCTCCATTTCGGAGATCCAATCCATAATTTGCACCGGCGTCGGGCTTCCAGATAGACTCGGTGGCTTGGATGCCATGAAATCTTTGTATTTGCATCCACGTCCGTCATTTCCTCCATCCTGGTGGTTTTTGCCTAACTATTAGTGGGTTGGCTTGACCAACAGTACCACTGAAGTTTCCACCTTCCGATGGCCCTCCATTCACTTCGGGCTCTTCAACTTGGATTGAAAGTTCTTCACGATTTTGTCGAAGCAGACGTCTAGTTTCTTCCATTTGATTATCCAACATCGCCTGAATCATCAATTGTACACCAGCCATCGTTACTGGCTCAGGTGCTGCAGCTACAACAGGTATTTGCTCAATTACAGGTGGTCGATTCCTGTTTTCGTTTGCGTTTCCAGCTCCACTGCGGGTTCTTGCCATTTTGATCTATACCCCGAATAAGGTGAATTTAGATCTTTATTCAGGATAGACGTTTAAATCATCCTTATCTCTCCGAAACGTTTACATGTTAGTTCTAATATCGTAGTCGTACGTTTAGAATCCTAAACACATAAGGTTTCCAGATCCGGTCGGCAACAGACCATAGATCCGAACAAATAACAGCATATAAGGCATAAATCATTTAGCACATAAAAGCATTTTAGGCACAATTCCTAAAATAAGCTAGTGCTCACACCTCACAATCATCGCTTAGCATTCTACGTTTAAGTCTAGAAATCCTACAAATTCCTAGTTCGCTTAAACTAATGCTCTGATACCAACTGTGACATCCCCAAAATCTCGGCCAGAAAGACCGGTTTTATTTATGCTTTTAAAAATATTTCAGAGTAATCTTTTTCTTTTATTCAAAAGAGTTGCGGAATTTGTCCCAAAACAAAATATGATAAAATAAAGTTTATCAAAGCATTTTATCAAAGATGCATAATCATTTTATAAAAATATTCGGGATGTCATGTTCCGATAAACAGACCAAAAGCATAAACAAATATTACAAGCAATACAACAGTTGAATTCATATAAAGGCTCATAAACAAAACAACTTGATGATTCATCCATCTTATGCCCTTGCGCCACTTCCTGTAATACAAATAAACTGAGTGGGTCAGGCTTGGGAGCCTGGTGAGCATATAGGGTTTTCAACCCGCAATAAATAATTATATTTAATTTTTTTACCGACCAACAATAACTTGATTACCCATTCCCGTTATCCTCACTTTACGTCCCTAAAATAACATCTATCTAAAAGGGACCTAATCTAGGAAAGTTCATCGGGACGGACATTACTGCTAAGGGGTTTCCTCAATAATAGATGTCCTAAAGGCAACCATGTGGGGGAGTAGAGTACACCGGTGAACACGTCGTTCACAACACCTACAGGTTATGAGCATGCTAGTGTTCCACTGGACTGCCTAGAAGAGTCCGTGGTCGTCATCCAAACTGTGACATCCCCAAAATCTCGGTCAGAAAAGACCGGTTTTATTTATGCTTTTAAAAATATTTTCAGAGTAAATCTTTTTCTTTTATTCAAAAGAGTTGCGGAATTTGTCCCAAAACAAAATATGATAAAATAAAGTTTATCAAAGCATTTTATCAAAGATGCATAATCATTTTATAACAATATTCGGGATGTCATGTTCCGATAAAAGACCAAAAGCATAAACAAATATTACAAGCAATACAACAGTTGAATTCATATAAAGGCTCATAAACAAAACAACTTGATGATTCATCCATCTTATGCCCTTGCGCCACTTCCTGTAATACAAATAAACTGAGTGGGTCAGGCTTGGGAGCCTGGTGAGCATATAGGGTTTTCAACCCGCAATAAATAATTATATTTAATTTTTTTACTGACCAACAATAACCCGATTACCCATTCCCGTTATCCTCACTTTACGTCCCTAAAATAACATCTATCTAAAAGGGACCTAATCTAGGAAAGTTCATCGGGACGGACATTACTGCTAAGGAGTTTCCTCAATAATAGATGTCCTAAAGGCAACCATGTGGGGGAGTAGAGTACACCGGTGAACACGTTGTTCACAACACCTACAGGTTATGAGCCTGCTAGTGTTCCACTGGACTGCCTAGAAGAGTCCGTGGTCGTCATCCATACTCCGCTAGATGACTAGATCAACAACAACATCGAGGCCTCTCATCTATTTATCACACATCAACTATCTACCCATGTTCTACCCAATATATTAGTAGATAAAAATATATATTTTTATGCATAGTTTTAAAACCTGTAAAGCATGTTCATTTAATATATATTCCACATAACAGATAAGGCACACACATATAACACATATTTCATAGATAATATATCATATATTGAGATAGAAGAAAGTGAATATACATTCACACATATAACAACCAAATATACACATCACACATATTTTATAATAAATACTTCATAATATGCGTTAGAAGAAAGTAACTACACACTCACTTGTTCAGAAGATAACCGGACACCACTACGACTTGTAGAAGTAGTATTCCTCGGTAGTCCTGGAAGATCTTCACAAAAAAAACGAGCTTCTCGCGAGCAGAGCTTCGGCTCGAGAGTTGCACTTCTCGGGATCCTCGGGGCTTCAAAACTTGCTTCGGGGCTCGGGAATAATATCGGGGCTTCGGGATATTATTGGCACGCAAACCAAGGCAAAATCTAGAGAGAAAGAATGAAGAATGGCAAGGAAATATGGCTGATCTCGGTCACTATTTATAGGGGCTGGAAACCCCGATTACGCTGGGCGTAACTTCAAGTACGCTGGGCGTACTCAGTACGCTGGGCGTAATCTCAAAGTATGCTGGGCGTACACGACGTCACTGCATACGTCACCTAGCAGTACTCGATTAGTTGCCGGCTCCTTTTCCTTTTCTCCGGTGTAAAGTAGATTCCTCCGGTCGAACGAATAATAAATAAATAGATAATTAAAAATAAATATTAATTATTTTAAAAACTTTGGAAATACATATCTTCTTCATATGAACTCCGTTTTCGACGTTCTTTATATCCACGCGTAGGCGGGAACGTAATCTACAACTTTCGTTTAGACTCCGTCGGCTAATTTTGAATTTATTTTAACAGTTATATTTTTAACAGGCCGGGACAGGATTAGTCCGTTAAAAATTCATAACTTCTTCATCCGACGTCCGTTTTCGTCTGTCTTTTTACCGTTGCATTACTATTGACGAGATCTTCAATTCTCATTTAGATTGTTTTGGCTAAAAACCGCTCGATCTCAAATCGAGTATTTGGGCTGCATACCGCTAAGCTGAAACTTAGAAAAATCATAACTTCCTCATACGAAGTCAGATTTGGGCGTTCTTTTTATGGGCGCTCTCGGTTTAACGTTTTCTACGACTTTCGTTTAGATCTCTAAGGCTAAAACTCGCTTTATCGTAAATTCACTATTTACGCTTCCCGGTATCATGTCGGTTCCGTCGTGAAACTTTGTCGGGTCATAACTTCTTCGTTATAACTCGGATTTTGGCATTCTTTATATATTCGGAAACCTCGTCACGACCACTACCACATCCTTCATAGATATCGGGTTTATCTAACATTTCATTTTGACGCTTATTTTTATTCTTTATTAATTATACATTTATAATTAAATAATAAGCACATAAATTCACATAATTCACAAAATACTCAAATATTTCATCTTTATTACATCAAAAGAGTTACAATAATTGACCTAGACTATTACATCGTCTAAAAATGGTTAGCCCCGAAACCCGGGCGTTACATAAGTCATCTAACTAGTTGTATTGTTCATTAGACAATTTGTATGCTAGTTAGGGAGAATGCTTTGGAAAATTGAAAATATGCATGTATAATAGAGAAAAATAGATCCAAAGCATTTAAGGTTGAATGTGCACCATAATAAAGAAAAATAAATCGAAAGCATTTAATAAATATGTTGTTTTTTTCAAATTCAGGTAAACATTATGTACAATTGATCAGACACTTTTTAGTTACCACCACTATGGAGTTATAGGTGGTGAAAGATGGACATTTATTACTACCTTTTTGAAGTCAAACTAATCATACTTAATCAGTCCACATCCTTATCTGTCGTACTCAGAGCATTTTAATATAAGTATAAGCATTGACATTGCTTTTCCATTGCACATTTGGTGAAGCCATCGATCTAAAATATCTCTAACACCCATTTCACGTTTTAGTGCATCTAAAAATCTTTTATTCAGTATAATACATATAGTTTTTTGTAAATTTTTCACTAGCCTTTCTTTAAAGTTTAATTTCGAGTTATACAATATAATGGAAGGTATGATCTATGTTTCATATTTCATGTACGTACTATTTTTATTCTTAACAGCAAGACTTTATATTGAATAATATGATTTTCGTAGTAAATGATTATTTAGGTCTTGCAGGTTTGAAGCTTAGAATCTTAAACTACAATGTCTGTGACGAATTCTGTGCGCTTTTGCATAAGGTATAATACATACATGAAAGTGAACTATGAACATTTAGCTCACATAAGTGGTATACTCTTTTCCTTTGTAATTTATACAAACTTTTTATCCTACATTTGGACTAAGATTTATCCAAAACCACAATCTTTTCAAAGATTTTGTTATGACTTAATCACTTAAAATTTATGCCTCGATCATTTCGGCGATGCCATGTTCTGTTGTATTAACCTCAACCAAATTTCGTGAATCGTGATAAATGATCCCAAGTCGATATTAGGGTTTCTTGATTATCACTACCTTTGTCTGTGAAGAGCATCACAATTTCAACATAGAAAAGTCAATATTGTAAAACCATGTCCCGGCTAAGAAATAAGATAATGTTATCACGAGAAGAGCGAATATATGCTAGCTTATACGATTTTCAATACACAAAAATAAAAAGTAGGATGATAAATATTCTAGATATTTACTTTCTGATATTGAAACTCGCTAAGGTCACAACCCAAACGTTGTTCCTACCAGGATACCACTATCACTATGAACATGATCATGAAGTCAAACACGAGGTTGTACCGAGGTTCCCACAAAACTGCAAAGCATTACCGCAAGTTTCGATGTGAAAGCTCAGCTAAAGGTTCCCTTTTGACTGGAACTATGGAGGAATTACAGCATGAATCATGGAAACCATTGAAAGGGATTGTCTTGAGCTCTGCAAATTATGTTCCTTTAACACCTATTAGTTTCTTGGATCGAGCAGCTCTAGTTTATAGCAAAAGGATCTCCATCATTTATGGATCCATCAAGTATACATGGGAAGAAACACATCGTAGGTGTATGAAGCTTGCATCTGCTCTAAACCATTTCGGGGTTTCTCGTGGAGATGTTGTAAGTAATCTTGTACATTTTGTTTATAAGATGAATAAATGATCACACTAAGCAACGAATACCACTTTAATTTTATGCTATTTAACCATTTCGTCCCACATCCATCACAGATGATTTTAAAAATCTCATATCAATTTTTATGGGAGATATTAGATATACCGTTGCTATATATGACAGCATATTTTTCGGTTGCTAATTTCCATTTGTGAAGTCAATTCTGTTGTAATGAATCTAAATAATGCAAATGAAACAAGAAATAAATGGTAAAATAATTGAATAGGTTGGGCTAATATTATTAAATCAAGGCTTTTAAAACTTCGTCCACCATCGATCGAAAACAGATGACTAATTATAATTTTGACAATGTTATATATGGTTATCACCGGTTAGAGTGACCAAAATGACCAAAAATAGACATGTTCAATGACCAATGTCAGCTTAAATAAAATATAATGATCAAAATAAAATACTCAGAAAAGTTCAGTGACTAAAAATGACATAAACCTTTAATATAATTATGTATTATAACCTAATCTTAAAATACATTAATGTCTACAATGAGACCTTCAACGTGTAGGAACACACTTTCCAACCAAGGTTCTAAATAACGTGAGGCGTGGCTTGACGACAAGGTAAAAGTTAAGCCATGACAAGTCTTGGCGAGCCATGACGTTTTTCAAGGCGTGACTATTTTATATATATTAAAAGAGATAAATCATATAATTATTGATTTTTATCAAGTATATCAAGATTTTCGAAATGTTATATTAGTATTTAATATAAAAAGTTAACAAAAACTAAATTATTTTAGGCCCGATAAAATAAATCAAAAAAAAAAAAAAACTCGCGCCTTGAAAAAAACTCGCGCCATATCGCGATAAGGCGCGCCTTGACACGTTATTTGCACACCTCGCTTAACAAACTCGCCTTGGGCGTTTTCGTAACAGCTACACCACGCCTCGCACCATGGCACGCCTTGAGGCGCGCCATAGCGCGTTTTTTAGAACCATGTTTCCAACTCATCAGGCTTGGGGGACTAGGGTGCGGTTTGACCACATCCTTTGCTACCGTCGTAGGGGAACACCGCCCCCTTGTACGGTTTTGGGTGCGGTTTAGCCGCGCCTCGATAGAATATGGCTGCGATTTTTGATTGGTTAGTGATTCTTTGACCGTTTGAACGGTTATTTTTTCAAAACTCTAATTTGTTTCTATTTTATCTATATATAATACCTATCATTTTTTACCAAACTTCACTCATATTTCTTTATCTTTCACCAACTTTTTTCTCAAAAACTTTCATCTTTTTTTTTTAGTTTTTTTTCTAAGTTTTTAATCGTTTGATGTTGTGTGTTTTTTTTAAGATTGTAGAATTTTTTTTAATGTCATGTTATGTTTTTTTAAGTAATGCAATGTAATGGTTTTTAATTTTTAAGTAATGAAATGTTATGCTTTTATTAAAATTTAAATTAAATTGATAAAAAAAAATTGTAGCACCACTCCTTTTGTGTGACAAACAACCACACTTTTGTGGTAAAAAAGTCACATAGCGTCTATGTGACAACAGTCATCCAACAGGTTTTTGGTACATTTGGTTAAATGTAATCGGTTTGACAAGTATTAGTAGAATTTATTAATTGCTTTGCAATCAAGTTTATTAATTTTCCTTCATATATAATGTGAATATCATGCTGGCGAGCACGAATCTTTTTATTACAAAATATAATGTATGTTTAACAAAAAAGAAGGTGAAATAATTATATTTGCTATTTAGTCAATTGATTAGATACGTAGTTTGACACTGTCACCTAAGATAAACGTATTTATGGTGGAATGCAGGTAGCGACACTAGCACCAAATGTCCCTGCAATGCTAGAACTTCATTTTGCTATTCCCATGGTTGGAGCAACCATTTGCCCATTTGATATACGTCTAGATCCAGATATGCTCTCAACCCTTCTCAATCATTCCAAAGCCAAGATACTCTTTGTTGATTACCAACTACAGCAAATTGCTACGGAAGCTGTCAATCTTCTCAAGAACACACACTCAAAAGCCCCACTCGTTATTGTAATATCTGAACCCAACTACCGCCGTTCCTTCAAACACATACGTAAACATGATTATGAGAGCTTTCTGGAAGATGGAGTTGCTGAATTCTCTATAGTCCGACCACATCATGAATGTGACCCCATCAGTTTAAATTATACCTATGGAACCACATCAAGCCCAGAAGGCGTTATTTGTAGCCACCGAGGAGCTTATCTTAATTCGCTTTCCTCAGTGTTCATACATGGTATGATAGATATGCCTACATACCTGTGGACGTTGCCTATGTTTCACTGTAATGGATGGAGCTTCACGTGGGGCTTAGCTATAGTTGGTGGCACTAATGTTTGCCTACGATCTATCACTCCTAATGAAATATTTGATAATATAGTGATTCATAATGTCTCACATTATATGTGCGGAGCTCCAACTATTACCAGAGCAACCAAAGGGGCTTTTGAGGGAGGATGGTCTCGAAGTGGAGATCTTCCCATTGAACATCCAAACGGGGGTATACAAGTAATGGATCACCCCAATAACATTGCAATATCTGGTGGTGAAAATATATCAATGATTCAGGTAGAAGCTGTGATTTATAGTCATCCTGCTGTTCTCGAGGTTGAAGTTGTTGCCAAGCCCGATGAGCACTGGGGCCACACTCCATTTGCATTTGTCGAATTGAAGGAAGGTGTTCATGTTGACGCTAAAGAAGTTATTAATTATTTCCGCGATCGTATACCACATTATATGGCACCAATGACGGTTATTTTCGAAGATTTGCCACGAAATTTGACTGCTAAGGTTCAAAAGTTTTTGTTGAAGGAGAAGGCGAAAAATCTCGGTGGCACTTTCTCCTCACCAGAAACTAGACCCTGGTAG